ATGGAATGGGAGTTTGGAATTTGTTTGTTTCCTTCCTTAAGCTACAGTTGTTTGATCCCCAGAACATAAGTATTGCTGCTGTGAAGATTGCATCTTTCTACTTTTCTTTATGTTTCGGTTGTGGGTAGAAATGAAAAGGATTTTTTTTGTTAAATCAAGGACGGGAGGTAATTGTTGTACTCTGGAAGGCAAGTTACTGGAGATCATTGTGAGATGTCTTTACAATGCTGCTTTACAAGCAGTGATGGGGGTGAGACGAGACAGCACAGCACCAGAGCTCATGTGCAGAGATTGATTTGGCTGGCAACGTGAAGCTGACTGTTTGTGCAAATGTGACCCGCTGTGGATGCTGGAAGTTATCTGCCGGAAGACAGCTCCCTGATTGGCTCCTGGGCAGGTGAGCAGCTTGGTTGCTTACAGCAGAGGGTCAGGAGCCTCCAGATTGCTGTGTCTCTATCTCACTGCAGTAAATACACCTGAAGCCTAAAAAAGGCAAGTTATTTTCTCCCACCAGCTGTAATGAGCTGTTGCCTTTAACCATAAACGAAGAGACTTTGTAATTAGAGCACCAGTTGGCCTGCGCCTCCTGCAAAGAAATCAAAAAACTTAGAGAAGCGGGTCAGAAGGTCTTTGGAAAGCAAAAAGAATACCTCAATAAATCATGTGGACTATTAAACTGTTAAAATATGTTTTCCTAGTTTTATTTACCCTCAACCAATAGCATCATTTTTTGTTTGTTTGTTTCTGTCTATCAGTAAGTGTTTGTCGGGGTTTAAAAGGGAGTTTACAGTTTAAAGGAATAGAGTTACATGTTGGTATTTCATGTTGTTTGCCTATGATTAGAACATATTTATTTGTAGGGAAAAGTAGTTCTTCTTACTTATAAGAACCTGGTCACTGTTTTCTATTGTAGATAACAAGGTGTAGAGCTATATGAACACAGCAGGCCAAGCAGCATTGGTCTGATTTTATCAATAAGGTAAATTGAGGACTTTGCATTCTTTGATGAAATCATTAACTGTTGTGGAAACCCTGGGAGTAGAGAGACTCAAGAAAGAGTGCACATTTTTTTTTTCATCTTGCACTCATCAGGAGTGTATATAAAAATATTTTAAAATGTTGTTCCTCTTTGTAATGGTATTCTTGCAAATGTCCTGATGAGTACATGAGACAAAACTTGGTGGGATGAGAATTCTGAGGAGGTTGCAAAGCAGCTTCAAGGTGATTTAGGCAGGCTAAGTAAGTGGGCAAGAACACGGCAGATGGAATATAATATGAGGTTATCCATTTTGGCAGGAAGAACAAAGGTACAGAGTATTTCTTAAATGGTGAAAGATTGGAAAGTGTTTTTCTCCAAAGGGACCTATGTGTCCTTGTTCATAATTCAGTGAAAGTTAGCAAGCAGCTGCAGGAAGCAATTCAGATGGCAAACAATATTTAGCCTCAATCGCAAGAGGATTTGAGTGCAGGAACAACAATGCTTTGTTGCAATTGTACAGAACATTAAGGATATATCTGTCATAAAGGGAGTGCAGCGGAGGTCCACTAGACTGATTCCTGGGATGGTGGGACTATTGTATGAAGAGAATTTGAGGAGATTGGACCTGTATTCCCTGGAGCTTAGAAGAATGAGAGGCAATCTCATGGAAACATACAAAATTCTTTGTGGGGTAGACAGGGTTGATGCAGAAAAGATGTTTTTCCCTGATTACAGTGTATATAACCAAGAGATACTGTGTCAGAAAAAAAGGCAAACCAATTAGGACTGAAATGAGGAGGAAGTTTTTCACTCAGAGTGGTGAATCTTTGATATTCTTTATTCCAGGGGCCTGTGGAAGCTCAGTCATTAAGTAAATTCAATACTGAGATTGATAAATTTTTAGTTACCAATAATATTAAAGGATAATGGAGGTTGCTGGGAATATGGCATTAAGGTTTATGATCAGTTATGATGTGGAGTGGTGAAGCAGGCTCAAGGGCTGAATGGTCTATTCCTGTCCCTATGTCTTCTCCTACATTGTTGGTCTTAAGATGGACCACAACAAATCTTTAACCTCTCTGTTCGGATTCCTTTCCTACTGTGAGACATCCTTCATCCTGGCACTAGCAAGGGAACATATCACCAGGCAGTCTCAATCATTACAGCAGAGGATGCTAGCTACCACCACTCCAAATAATCCAATAAAGGGGAAGAATATAAACACTTCCATTCACATAATGATTTTCATCTCAAAGCCACTAAAGGTTTTTTGAAGAGTCACTGTTGTAATGTAGGGAATGCAGCAGCCCAACTGCACACAGCAAGATCCCACAAACATGAATGTGATAAAGAGCCGATAATCTGTTTCTCTGAGATGCAGATTGAGCGATAAATATGGTTCAAAGGTCCAGACATAACCCTCCTACTTTTCTCAAAATAGCACTGTGGGATCTTCTCCATCTATCTGAGCAGACATATGGTGTATATAAGGTAATAGTTCTGAAAGAGTTCATGTTGAAACTGCATTAGTTCCATCTATTCTGATGATATCTTTGGGTGGAGAATCAGTTAGTGTTGTACAAGGTCTCAAAGGAGACAGATAAGACATACCTGCCGCCTTTAAGTTGTAATTATGCCCAAACTGTTAATGTTAATTGCACTTATTGTATCAAGTTATTTAAGACGAGTGCCTCTTCTTGTTAAGACTCTACAGTGGTCTATTCTCTACCACTGATAGGCCCTTAGACTCAGCACAGACAGGAGGATTGGTAGCTGTGAACTATTTCAGCCACAAGCCACCAGTGATTGGTAACCCAGAGGCTATGACATGCCAGCAGCTGTGATATCTGAAAACACAGCTGATGGGACCTCAGTCTCACCCTAAAGACAGCACCCTTGACACAGCAGCACTCTTTTAGTACTGCACTGGAGAGTCAACCTCAAGTTTTGTGCCCGGAAACCCCTAGAGTGAGCCTTGAACCCAGAACATTTTGACATTGAGCATAAGGGTGCTACTAACTGAAGCTAAAGGCTAAGCCTGCAGAGGAGTACCCATGAGACCAGGTTGGGTAAAGCTGCTCACATTTGGTTGAAATTGTTGAATTGGTTCATGCAATATTAAGTGGGGATTGATCGTAGAATGAACATGAGCCGTAAGAAACCAAGAGAACACCAATGACAAAGATTGCAGGATTTCACCAGCTTCACCTGGTGGAGGAGATTTCACCTCCTGACCCTCGAATTAGATGAAAATAATGCTGAGGTTCACAAAGGTCTATGACAGGAAGAAACAGGATAGAGGAGAGTATTGCTGAACAGGGAGACAAATGACTTGGTGATAAAAGGGTTTTCAAGGCACTACACTCCCGATCATCCAGGAGTTGAGTTCAGATTGTCACTTGAATGGATAGTCAGGCCATGAAACTGTGGGGTTTGAGCCTGTTGTGACTGGAATGTGATTCAGGTCACATCAAACTTTAACCAGTCAACAAGGTTTACTAGACTAATAAACAACAGTGTGGAGCTGGAGGAACACAGCAGGACAGGCAGCATCAGAGGAGCAGGCATGTTGACATTTCAGGTCAGGACCCTTCTTCTGAAACGTCAACTTTCCTGCTCCTCTGATGCTGCCTGGCCTGCTGTGCTCCTCCAGCTCCACACTGTGTTATCTCTGACTCCTGCATCTGCAGCTCTTACTATCTCTTACTAGACTAAAGCCTGGAATGAGCAGGTTGCCTGATGAGGAAAGGCTGGACAGGATATGTCTGTATCCAATGGAGTTCAGAAGACTCAGAGGTGACTTAATTGAAATGTATTACATCCGGAAGGATGCTGTCACTTGACAGCGGGGTAGAAGGGGGAGAATAGGGAGTAGGGAAAAAATGGGGAGAAGGGGAAGAAAGGGAAGGGAGGCAAAGGGGAGGGGGAAGGGAAGTGGGGGAGGTGGGAAGAAGGGGGAGGAGAGGGGGAGAAGGGGGAGGAGAAGGAAAAAGGGGGAGGAGAGGGGGAGATGGGGGAGGCGAGGGGGAGAAGGGGGGGAGGGGGGAAAGGGGAAGGAGAGGGGGAGAAAGGGAAGCCCTGGCCTTGCTTCTGCCACCCTTCCTCCCCTCAGTCTGGGTCCTGCATCTTCCATGATCCTGGGTCTCCGGGATGACCCTTCCTTTAACAGCCCCATGGCCTCCTCCAGGGTGCTCCCAAGAGACTCTAATTGGCTGGCACCACAGGGCGGGAGCTGTGCCCCTCACCTTGAGGGTCTTGACTCCAGGGAAAGGCCCCCTCAGTTGCCTCACCACTGCCTGACACAGACTGTGGTTTGAGCAGCCGCCCTTGAGGGAGGGAGTGAGGGCTTCAGGACTGGGCCCCAGAGACCCCTCAACACTCCAGGAAGACTCTGCCTGACATTTAATGAACCAGATTGGCTTTACTACGATAGTTACTGAGAGTAACTCTCAATTCGTGATTCTATTAATTGAAGTTAAATTCCGCTGGGGAGAAGACGCTGGCTGTATAACACACAAGTTCTTTGTACAGGGGACAGGTTACCTGTCAGATCTTGCCTCTGTTATGTGTACACAGTAATCTTCCACAAATCTCAACTTATACTGCTCACTTCAAATCTAGTTAGTTTACCTTTTTTTTAAACTGAGCGGTTGAATAGTTATCTGACATGTCTGGGTTACAAATGACGGAAATTGTGTACAGCACAAACAAAAAAGTGCCTGCCCTCTGCCATCCAATAGGCTCCTCTTGTCCCTGTTGGAGATGACCGTGCCAGGGCAGGAGCCTAGTAATAAACCACAATCTCTGGGCCCAGGCTATCAGCTGGACTGCAGTGGCACCCAAAGGAATGACTGGGTCAAAAACACACAAAGCTGGAGGCAAACAATGATCGAGGTGACCCTCAGAAAATGGAATTGGAATGGTTAGTTTATGTGACAGGACAAGATCTGTTCAAAGGAATGTTGATCTTTCTGGGAGGGAGGCGGGGTGAGAAATCACTAAGATTCAGAGAAAGGCTCACCTTTTCGACGCTGTCGTTTCCTCCCCTGCCTGACCCTTCGATGCTCCAAGTCCATTTGATCGCCTGGCTTCTGATACGGTGATAGCCCATCAGCAGTTGTCCCTATGCTCCCTAAAAGTCCACATACGCCGTGCCTGTAGCTTTTAGCACTCTGCCGATAAACAGCTAGACTGAAGTCCAAAACAAACAGTTTGAGAGTCTCTCGGCAGACACGCTGACATTCCTTATCTACAGAGTAACAAGATCTGTGTTTCCCAGCCACCTGCCCGTCCCCCCACCTCCCAATCCTGCAACAGGAGGCTCTCTCTCTCTCTGCCTCAGGCAGTCCCGGGATCTGCTTGAAGAGCCGTTTCTCACTCTATGGTTCCGCAGACGGTAAGAGACCTTGTCAGAATGCTGTGCTAACATGCCTAAGTAACCTCCCACTGAAGCGTTTGAAACAGGTTCTACGGGTGTTGGAGCTGTACAGGCGCACAGAGAGAGAGAGAAAGGGAGAAGACTTGTTAATAATACATTCAACACTCAAAATAACATTCTGTACTAATTAAAAGTCAATTCCTACATGGCATTATGTAAATAATATACATAAACTTGTCCAAATAAGTAACAAAGCTACAAACTTGGCTCTGCCCTAATATAAGTGGGGAATAATAGCTGCTGTGGCTGACAAATCATTCCATTAAATAACTTACAGACCAAACACGACTTCACACCCACTCCTAATTCTATTTGGTTGCCATTCCAAATTCTCTGGAAACAGAAAGATTAACATGACAAAACTGAAGCGTTTTCTCAAGACAGCATAGAAGGATCCCGTTCGGCCTCTTTGGCTGGTACTAGCTCTTCAATTGGCCCTGTTTCTTCTCTCTCCTCGAGGCTTGTTACGTACCGAATTTGAACTTAATCAACTGTGACCTCTTTCAGTGAAGTAAAACCAACCCTCAATGGAGTCGCCTGTCAAATCTCATCAAACTTACCAACAAGGAACAAATTAGGCTGCTTGGCTCTCTCAGCCCACTCCACCATTCAATATGGTCATTGATGATCTGATTTTAGCCTCAATCTTAATCTGATTTTAAATCTACCTTAAAAAATATTTAGAGACTCTGTATCAACTGCCTTTTGAGGAAGGGAATTCCAAAGACTTACAATCCTCTGAGAGGAAAACAAAACGATTACTCATCTCTGTTTTAGAGAGTGACCCCTTATTTTTAAAACAATGACACCTCGTTCTAGGTTTTCCAACTAGAGGAATTGTCCTTTCCACAGCCATTGGTCAAGTCCCCTCCAGATCTTACACGTTTCAGTTAAGTCACCTCTCACTGTTCTAAACACCAGAGGACACAGGCCTGGCCTATGTAGCATTTCCTCATAAGGCAACCTGCTCATTCCAGGTATTGGTCTGGTAAACCTTCTCTAAACTGCTTCCAATGTATCAATGTCCTTCTGTAAGTAGGTGACAAATACTGTACACAGTGCTGCAGATGTAGTCTCACCAATGCATATATAACTGAAGCATAACCTCATCTTCAAACACGAATCAGATAAGGCCCACCAGAGCTAAGAAATGGTGTGATTTAGATTACGAGAAAACACACAAGATGTCCCTTTCTACAACTGGAAGGTAAGGTATATTCATAAGACCATAACAAATAAGAACAGGAGTAGGCCCCTGAAGCCTGCGCTGTTATTCAATACAATTATAGCTGATCCAACATTCTTCATGTCCACTTTCCTGCCCTTCCCCCACCACCTTTGATTCCCCAACTAACCAAGAATCTATGTAGCTGAGCCTTAAATATGCACAAGGACTCTGGCCCCACAGCTCTCTGTGGCAAAGAGTCCAAAGCTCACAACACTCAGAGAAGAAATTCCTCCTCATCTCAGCCTTAAAACGACGTTCGTTTATTCTGAGACTTTTGCAGAACCAGTAGATTCTCTAGTAGGAACTGTGCATTTATTTCTGTCAGTATCAGAGAGACTTGTGCTCATTTGAGCTGTAACTCCAGGACATAAATCATAGAGTGGAAAAGATGAGCTTTAAAACATATTTTGGTGCCCACAGCTGCAATCACTCCTGGAGGAGTCATTTTCCTCATCGGTCCATCATATCATGCAGAGGGGGATCTAGCCAAAGAAGTTTCTGGAATGTGCTGGGAATGAATGTCCAATGTCTCCAGTTAGGATCCAACTGCCCTGTAGTCCCAGAAATGCTGCTGAAGTTGGACACGCAAAGGGTAGGCTTCAGAGATTCCATAGTATCTTTTAATATTTCTCAAGGCATTTTGCCTATAACTGATCATTTTAAAGTGCAAAGATTTTTGTTAATTAAAACAAACATGGCTGCCATTTTGTGCTTGTCAACAGCCCACAATTCCTGACCAGTTAATCTGAGTTTCATGGCATTAGTTAAACAAAGACAGCCAAAGTCCCTGCTCTTATTTAAATAGTCCCATGGGATCTTTTACACCTCAATGACCATACAGTAATTAGGGGTCTCAATTGAACATCTCATCCAAATAACTGCACCTCTCGACAATGTAGCACTCTCTTGGTATTGCACCAAACTCTAGACTATAAAATATTGCAGCAGAATTAGGCCATTCAGCCCATCATCTCTGCTCTGCTATTCTATCATGGCTGATGTAGATTCTAGATCATGCTCACAGGTGCTGCTGTTGGGTTGGGAAACCCGACTTTCTGTCTCGGAGGCAGAACATTACCAAATGAATAAGCCAAGATAAAACCTAGCAGTCTTAAGTGGCAGAGACAGGAGGAACTGCAGATGCTGGAGAATCTGAGA